AGCTCCTTTCTGCTGTTTTAGGGTCTCTGTCACTTTAAGCAGCTGCCTCCAAACTCAATGTTTACGCTTGCACATGAAAACAGATGCGCAGTTATGCAACACTAAATCTTTGAAAAGCAGAAGTGGAGCTTCCTGCACAATCAACAGGAAGACAGCAAGTGGTTTCTGGATGGCAAGTCAACAACAAAACACTTTTCCAGCAGCATACGGTGGTAAAGGCATTTGACCAAAGGTGGTTTTTATTGCTTGGTAATGGGTTGGGCTTTACTGGCATTGCTAGGTGACGGGCCATGCATGCTGACTGACATTCAGAAGATTTTTGAAACGGGTCATTTTCCAGACACTAAAAACACATGAACCTATTGCAAAAAAATAGCTGGGTGGTTTTTCTAAAGCGTTTGGGCTGCTTTTAGAAACAGTAGAGACTCAAATGGAAATACAAAAACATGCAAAATGCGAATTTTGTATAAGTTAAAATAGTACCTATCTGCCATTCTCATCTCATCCTGTCATGAATACACAGTAATTCGCTTTTTTTATGATTTTTTTATGTGTTACCCTAAAACTCAATCTCTATTCACACCCACAAGCAGCCATGTGGTCACACTCACACCTGAGAGAGCCAAGATCATGCTAGGTGCATACAGCAGATTCCTTCGTGATATTTTATTTATGCCAGCAGAGGTAAAGGCACACATGAGCTCTCACACCCTCCTCCTCTCTCTCTCTCTATCTGAGTCTCCTGTGCAGTTCTGGCTTGGCCCAGATAACAGCAAACCTGCCTGGAGGCGAGAGACACCAACACTGCAGGACGTAATGGAAGCTATCATAATGCTTAGCAGGCGCTCGGCTCGTGGCGGCGAGACGGAAACGCCTCTCTGCTCGGAGTGTGAGGACACGTCGGTTTGTTTTGATGCAGTGGCTCAAGGTTTTAAAAGCTGACAAGATGGACTGATTTAGGTAAAGGGATGGGAAATGTGTAAAAGGACTATAGGCTGTGCAAAAAGAATGAATTCAAATCTCTTTTTAAATGATTTCTGGAAGTTGCTGAACAAATATTAGAGTGAATGTACTTCAGTGCAAGTTCACATATGATAAAGTTCAGATTGATGTAATTAATTTTGAGCTCTTGGTCTCTTCAATAAAGTCAATCAATTTTAAAAACAAGAAGGAATTCATTAGGAAACAGAGATACAATTAAAGGCTCAAATATCCAAATTTATCCCAATATTTGAACAAATATTTCCAAAAGTGGTATTTTATCATGCATTCAACTCATTTAAGTCATTATTGTACTAATGCTGTTTTAACATGAGTCTCTTCATCTTTGTTGCTTTATTTCCCAGTAAAACACTTTTGGATAAACTTGAGTTTTAAATGGTGTTTTACATTAGGACTGGAGTTTGAAACCACCGGGATAGATGATGGATATTTAAAAAGCTGATCCTCTTTTTCAACACTGTTGGACTCAGGTCAAGCATAATGTTAGAGAATTTTCACATGCCTGGGTCCATTGTTGCATCAGAACATCCAACTGGACCAATCCAACCCAAACTATGTACACAAAAATGCTTCAAATGTTCAAGATAAAGCCTGGCATCAATTCCAACACAAACAGAAGATGTTGAGACAAGAGACTTTCAGTAAGAAGATACACCTCCTTCAAGCTTGCCGAATGTCAGATGCAAAAGCTGAACAAAGATTCAGCTATTCACAAGGTCAGAAGTTATGTAGTCAAAGTGAGATATTTCAATCTCGGAGCATCGTACTGATTGGTAAGCATGGAGGTGGAAGCATCATGCTGAGGTCTGTTCACTCTTAGCATAACTGACACACTCCAAACAGTAAATGAAATGTTGGGAGATTGTTTAACTTCACATCAACGGCTTTAACTTCAATGAAATTGTACTTTTATGATCTGTGTTGGATCGGATTACGCTTTAGAAAATAACTGCACGGTTTTTTTTTTGTGTATTTTTTGTCCTTGCAGTCACGCCTGGTTACCAAACTCATTTTTATTCAAGATTACATACAATCAGATACAAAGGGCAGATTGTGGCAGAATCCAAAGGTAAAAAACATATTAGCCTTCTCTGCAATCTTAAAATATGTAGCATCTTTTCACATTTATGTAAGTGGGCACTATTCAAATAAAAAATGACTGATAAAATAAATCTCTTCAGTTCTATTTATGTGGCTCAAAATACCCGCAGACCTTGAGTTTGACTCGTGCTGCAGAACATTTCATATTTTAATCTGTTTTAATTATATTTCTGACTCTGTGTGAATCTACATGCTTGTTTGCTTGTCACTTTGCGACACCTGCATTTGCCCTTTGCGGGACAAAGACCAATTGTAGTGTAATGTGCTTTGGAGTCCTTGGACTTGATAAAGAGCTATATAAGTGAAGACCAATTACCGTTTTACAAAAACTGAGTTCAGAGTGTAACTTGACATCTAGCCAAACATTAGTGGAGGTGCGTTTGAATTTCACTGTGTGGATTACAGAAAATATACAACACAAATCAAACTGGTGTCGCTCTGAAACAACTAACGAGTCACTATGGTAACTTTTCCTTTTACATTTACTGATAGTTGTAATCTTTTTGTCAGTCCAAACACAAGTGAGCCCTGACTGATAATACGCAATACTTCTCAAAATACCTCGCAAATTAAAAGGCATTAAAAGCAACCCCGTCTTTTTATCCACCCCTGCTTTATGACCCGCATAGATTTAACAGACAGCAGCAGAATCAATACACACTAACAGCCTTTCAGCTCTGGATACAATGTTTAATTTAACTGCTCTAATTAGCCGGCCTTATTAAAAATGTAAGTTTACCCACAGAGTTCTGCATTCTGTATTTATCAATATTCAATTCCATCGGGTCAAAAAAAGAGAAATGCTTGTTTCCGGTCTACTGCAGTGAGCTGTTTAATGACTCCCTGAGTTAACGGTCTATACACGGACTTAATGGTCCGCTCTCGTTTGTTTTATGGGTCCATATTATGGCGATGAAACCTTTGTTCTGTTCTGTCAAGCTGGATACATACGGAGAGTTAATTGGTGACGTTTAATAGCATTTGAGACGAGATTCAAGGCAAACAGGAATAAACTTGTCATGAACTGACATAGTCTTGTGTTGGCTCAGTTACACTCCCTGCAAATCCCTCCTTCACCGCAACCATACAATGTCTTTTTTTGCATTTTCTTCAGCATACCGATAATCTGAAGTCAAACCTTCCTGTTGAGGGATTTATTTCCTCTAAGCCTCTCTCTTAGTCCTGTCTGTGGTTCTATTAATTTCCAGCAAAAATCAGATTTGACAAATCCAGGAAGTATTTTATGTATCTGCAGGGCCGGGAAAGCCGATTTGAGTTTGTCCAGCAATAAGGCAGGTACTTATGAGTGGCGATATATTTGCTTCAGCTACTTATGCTTGCAACTCAGAGGAATTGATTATTTTTGCCCTTTCCCGATCGATTTATGGATACAGCTTGGATACCAGTTTATAATCCCATAGGTGCATTCGTTCCAAGGGTTCTGAAAACAGTTACTTAAAGGTATATATAACCTTTAAACTCCTTCAACATTTTATCAAAGCTGTAAACACAAATTTGAACATACTTTGATAACACTTTTATTTGACAGGTTGTGAATAAGACATAACACCCGTCAAGAACATGAGTAAGTCTTTATGAATGAATCTTTAGCTTTAATAACATGAAGCTACATCATTTTTATAGTTTAATCAGTATTACTTTTATAACAAATGTATGTCAGATTATGATTTCTTGGTTAATGTCAAGTTGTCATAATGAAGACATTTTGAATAATGTCAGCTTTGTGTTAAAATTGTACCGAATAACACGTTAGTCATAAATATTCACAAAGGCTTACTCATGTTTATGACGGTGTCATGACAGTCTTACTCATAACCCGTCAAATAATGTGTTGCTCACTTTATTTGATGGGCAAATAAAGTAAAATCCCATACTTTAAAGGGATTTTAGGTAAGATTTTGTCTGAAGTAATGATGAGATGGAGTCAACATTCATGATGAGATTAATTAAAACATCTTTATGACCTAAAAGCAATAAGAACTGCACATCACTTAAACCAGCTGCTCTTATGATGAGAGATGGAGGAGGCAGCATCATCCTGTGGGGATGCAAACAGGTCAAAACTAATGCAAAGCATGATGGGAAAAAACTGTTAATCCTGAAAGAAATCCAGATTCGAACACAATTGCTATCCCTTGCAATAATTAGCAGCATCAAGCTGTTTAATTATTATTTTAGTTATTCATTTTTAGCAATTTGTTGTTCCAAATTCATTTCATCTAACAACTCAGTTCAAATCTCAGATGATCAAACTTTAGAGGTCAGAAAAACCTTGAAATGCTTGTCTTACTAGTTTGTATCTGTACACATTTGTAAGACAGACTTAAATCCCATCGACTGCAACCTTGACAAGTTTAGTGACCGTTATCTATCCAAGCTAACAGTCTGAGCTTCTGTTCAGAGAAATATGGGCAAAAATTCAGTCCCTGGATGGAAAAATCTGGTAGAAATATACCAGCTCTGACAAGAGACAAACTTTGAGCTCGGTTTACAAATTAGCCGACTTCTAAAAGCCATTAACTACACTGGATTTTATTTAGGGGTGTCAGTTTTATTATTTAAGAAACCATGCATCCTTCCTTACAACTATGTCTTCGCATTCGCTACTGTCAGTCAGTCTGTCGAGTCAAATCCCAGTAAAACACATTAAAGTTGGAGACTGTCAGGTGACAAAATATGAAAAAATCCAAAGGATGTCAATATATTTGCAAACAGAATCCAAATGAATGAAACTTGATTGTGATCTCAGCAGGTGAAATCAATGAAAAATTGTTTGCTCTAGGGAACAACTTTCGTCAGCTTTACAAAATAACACATCAGCCACAGGTGCAGAATTCAGGTACCTCATTCTTTATTTTAAACATTTGTTAATGTACCTGTAAATGGGAAAATGTCTGTTCATCCTCGTTGAAATAGAAAACAAGAAAAACGCATTGAACTCTCCCAAGAATCTAGTAAGAAAAAATTACATCCAAAAATACTTGACACTGCCATCTGCAAGAGTACAACAGGAAATAGGGGGGAAAAAGAGATCAAACAAAAAGCACAAACCTGTGAGCTCAGCTGCAAGAAAAGTGTCAGGTTAAAACGTCAGAGAGGGGATTTAAAAAGGATTGCCTTGTTTCTTTTTTTGGTGAAAGACAAAGAAAAGAGCAACAAAGTGAAAGCGAGAGGTTTCACCGGCGAGATTCATCAAAATCACAAACCACACTGCCAAAATGCAAACCAAAGCCACAGCAAAAGTCGACAGAAAACAAAAACCAAAAAAAAAAAAAAAAAAAAAAAAAAATCAAAATAATAAAAAAAAATGTCCCAAAACCCACCAGTAAATGCGCAGGAAAAAGAAAAATCTCTGTACTGATAAAATCTGCTCGGTTTCTGCAAAACTGCAAGCAAAGTGAGAGGCTTTCTCAGAGACCGATAACGCGCTCGTTTTCTTTATACCCTCTCGATCTGAATCACCGAATGCTGAAAACTTGAAGCCTGGATGGACTGACTGTAGAGGTGGGGGGTGAAAAAACGCTTCAAACCAGCAACGCAAATGCTCAATTCAAACACCAGCAAAAGGAGGAAAAACAACCCAAAAAAAGGAAAAAAGAAAAAGAAGGGGGTGAATTTAGAAGACCAAAAAAAATTGTTTTTGTTTATAAAAACAGAAAAAAAAAATAGCCAGTGGAAGTGTACTCACCGAGCGGGAGTAAAATGTTGCAATAAAAATGTGAAATGGCTCAAAAGAGGCTACAGTATGGCGGTGCGAGGCGGAATGCTGAGCCTTTCCCTCTCTCTAGCTCCCTGCCTCCAGTTCTGTCATGTGACTCCTTCAGCTCCGACTTCCAGCAATGAGAGTCCAACCTCGAACAGCTGATGATGCCGAATGCTCTCCTATAAAGGCTTGGCTTCTTACAAAAGTACGGGGGAGCAAAAAAAAAAAAAAAAAAAAAAAAAAAAAAAGAAAGGAAACAGAAAGAAAGATGCGCTCCTTATCATGCCACGGTTACAACTGAGCTGGTTTTATGTTTCTCTGCTGCATTTTGAACGTGCACAGCTCTCTCTTTGTGTCAGCGCCACGGGACGATCAAGCCATGCGGATTTTTCTTTTATTCCTTCGCTGGCTTCGTGAGCTTGTACATAAGGCGTGGATGGGAGAAGCAGAACCAGTCTGATGATGATCAGTACATAAACAGTTAAGGTGGGGGGAGAAAAACACTGGAGCGTCATATTTTGATTAAAGCTTTGTCCTATATGGTGAAGCCTTGGTGCAGGTTAGAAAACACTTTGAGTTATCAGCCAACATATGGATCCTAGAACAAAATACGGTGCAATAAGAAACAAAAATGAATAAATCAAACATAGTATTCACGCTTTATGTTACAACCTGATTCCAAGTAAAGTAATCTCTTGGCAATGTGGGTAAAAATAGTTTGACGTTTTTGCAAACTTATTGAAAGTAGAAAATCAAGAAATCACATTCACATAAGTACATGTGTAACACTTTGTTGATTCATCTTTGGGATCAATGAGTCTTTTTGAATTCAGCTGAGCTCAGCCATCTTTTCTCTGCTGTTCTTCTCCAGCTCCATCAGGTTGGATGGGAAACATCTGTCAGACATTTTCATTTCGCTCCAGAGATGTTCAGTCAGATTCACCCTTTTGAGATCTTGTCCGTGTGTTTGGAGTCGTCGTTCTGCTGAAAAATGAGAAGTCGCCCCAGTTTGAGGTTGAGGTGCTCTGCAGCAGGTTTTCATCCAGGATGTCTTCGTACGTTGCTGCATCCGTCTTTTCCTCTTTCCTGAGCAGACTGCCAGTTCCTGTTGCTGCAAAACAGCCACCTAGTATGATGCTGCTACCAACGTGCTTCACTATAAGGAGCCGTCCATGGTTCCCTCAAAACAATGATGCCTGACATTCACACCAAATAGTTCAATCTGTGTCTCATCAGTGGAGAGAATCTCACTTCTCATGTTTTCTCCTCACGGTTCCAAACTTCTTCCGTTTACCACTGAATTCATTGGGACTTTGAAAGGAGCAGAAATGTTTGTTTCTTCCCCAGATTTGTGCCACAAGACAGCGCTGTCTCAGAAGTCTACAGGCAATTACTTTGATTTACTGCTTGGTGTTTGACCTCTGACCTGCACTGCCACCTATGAGTCTTTATATAGACAGGCGTGTCCCTTTCCAAATCAAGTTCAATCAACTGAATTTACCTCAGGTGAACTCCGTTTAGTCGTAGGAACATCGGAAGGATAACTAAGCTTTTCTTAGAGAAATAATCAAATCAGAACCATCTTGAAAACTTGCTCCAGCAGACAGATTGCTACAAATAAAAGCATTTGGATTTAAATCTACATAAATAATTTGCTTTATCATAATTTTTTAGATAAATTAGATCTCCTTTTTTGTGAAGTATCTTAAGATGACATTTATTGTGAATTAGTGCTGGATATGTAAACAGAATTTAATTTAATTTAAGTCTTTGGCTTACTTTACTCTGGTTTTCCACCTTCCTGCAGCAGGTAGTTTGTTTCTGCTTCCTAAAAGCAACACAAGTACAATTTCAATCTCCCAAATTGAATATTAAACAGGAATTTTTATGCCACACAATCCTTGGCTTTCTATTCCTAATGAGAAATAAAATTTTTAAGCATAACACATTAGAGCACAGCTTACCTTGTCTATGACATTTGAATAATAATAATAATAAAAAACGTTGTGTGCTTTCTAAGAATCTGAAAGTAGGATGGATTATACAACAAAACAAATTTCCCGTAAGATACCTTTGCCCTTAACAAGTGAGAGTAAAGCACACAAATTTCACCAAAGTGGTAAATTTAAAAGAGAGAAAACGTTTAATAGTCTCTTCAGTGGTGCTGAAATTGTCCAGCACAGAAACAGTTAGTCTGCTGTCCATGGTGCTGAAACCCAGAGAGCTCTGGGTCGTCGTCTCCTGGATGAAGCTGAACAGAACCAGAACAATTAGACCAAGCAGTGTGTGGTTGAGGCTCTGTCCCTGGTTCTGAAATAAACCTGGTGTAATACAATTTAGGCCTAAAGGTTGTGCTGGCTGTAATTCTGAACCCATGTATGAGCCGTGCATTAGAAGCCTGTCTGTGGAGCTAAACTGAGTAATTGCTGCACAGCTCGACATGATTGTTTTGCTGGAAGGTTGTTAAAATTGCTATGTTTAGACACACTGTGATTTTGCCTAATTATGTATTTGTTTGTATTTTTTTTTTACATGAAAAGGGCCAAACAATACCTAATATTAAGTTGTATCATGCCATTTAAAGTTTCAAGCATCATCCCAACTTTTTTATAGACCCCACTCCACACACACACACACACACACACACACACCCACACACACCACACACACACACACACACACACACACACGCACACACACACACACACACACCACACACACGCACACACACACACACACACACACACACACACACAGCTCTCCCGCTCTTATCCGTTAAGTAAATACACCTGAGAAATGTAGGTTATCGCTGATGGCAACAGACAGAAAAGTAATAATGTGCTATTGATGCATTAGAGTCTGACTGCGGTTGTCAGACAGAATTCAGAACAAGTTTATGCAACACACAGCGTTGGAGACAACTGTCATCATTCATAAATCAGAGCAGAGGTCGGTGCAGTGCTCCCACCTTAAGCACTGTCTAATTTAATTCACGTTTCAAAACACATCCATGCCTGTGGGAGGCACCGAGTAAAAAAAAAAAAACATGCTCTGCCATCCCCAAAGAATACATTCAAGAACTGTGATCAAACTCTGGCAATATTACCGCCGCACACATTTGCTTCCTCTCTTCATTTAGCCCTTGAAGCTGCTTCGAGGTCTCTTTTGCAGCATTTAGTAATGCTCAGCCCCTGTTTGTCTACGGCATGGCAGTCCAGGGCTTGAAAACTAAAGATAGTGGTCTGTGAGTCATTGTGCAGGACATCACTTTAATTGTTGATGCCTGAGGGTGCACATGGTCTGATTCAGGAACTGGACTGTTCATGGTTTATTGTGCCAACATGTAGGCAGGGAGGTAATGAAGAAAATTAAGGAATTAAAGCACAGCTACAATAATTCCCTCCAACCAAATATGACACACTATAAAAAATGCCTGATGTTTTTGATGACTCACTGTTATAAATAGTTATCTGGAGTTTATAAAGTTTTCAAACTCTGGCTTCTGCTAACAGATAGTGATGCTGTTTTGGCGCTAGCCTCTACAGAGAGAAGCAACCTGTGTTTTCTCTCTTTTGCTTTTCTACGAAATATACCAACCAGAGGGTCAGTTGATGCAACTGAGGTTTTTTTTCTGACGCAGAAATAATACGTCAGAATAACAGAATAGCTAATAATAATTGGTATTATTCTGAGCATCTACTTCCTAATTCACTGCTAGCATCTGGCTTTGCTGCTGTATTAACGAGAACTTCTAAGTGACCTTGAATAAGAAATGAAGATTCAATATCTGTTGTAATATTTTATGTTCCTTGAAAAAACAAAAGCTCAACAACCTAATGAGCCTTTGGCTTACTTTTCAAGCAGTGTTTGTTTGTTTGTTCTTTTTGCAACAGCCAGCAGTGCAACTCCATTGCTAGCTTGAGCATAAAGATGAATAATGAATCATTTATTTTATCAATCGCTCAACTATCTATGTTTTTCATAGGAAAAAACTAAAAAAAAGTTTCTGTCCATTTTGCACAGTCTGTTTCTTGTCAATAAAACTTGTTTGACCTTTTCTGGGCCATTCTGGGTCTGATTCCTCCATTACCCATAATGCAATAGTCTGTACTGGACATCTTATATCCAGATAGATTTGATTTTGTGTTTGAAACTTCGAATGGGAAAACACCTGCAGTCTTTACAATCATTGTGACTACTTTAATTGTTTGTTTCGGTCTCTTTCTGGTTTAATTCTTCTTCATAATAATATTTTGCACTGGCTGCAAAATATTACTATTATTATTATTTTCTAACATTCAAAGTCTAAAACTTTGTTTATAAAAGCTCTTTCTTAAGATTCTTGAGAGACATCTACGCGGTTAACGAATCTCAGATTTCTTTAAACTTTATGGCCTGTAACCTCTTTGCCTGTAGCCTGGATTTAGGATTTATGCCCTTTAGATTGTTTAGTTTGGGTGTTTATTTCACTAAATGAACTATAAATATATCTTGTTTTGACTAAGGTTTAAATTTTTAATTGCCAGCAATTCTGCGTTTGAATAAAATATGACAGTAGTGCATTTTTACTGCTGGCACTGGAATAAAAACCCATACATTTTTTTTATTGCTGTTAATCTGGTATAACTTTGCATATTAACTCAATAGATCAGTGGAACTTGAATGTGTCGCTTTACTAATGTCCTGTAGCCGTGCTGCTTGTGATAAAAAGACACATAGGTCTCATTCAGGTATTGGATGGAGCATAGACAGATGCAGCTGCCAAGATGTAGGCAGAGAGGTAATGAAGAAAATTAAGCAATTAAAGCACAGCCAAAATAATTCCATCTAATCCTGTTCTGCACTCTATAATAAACTATGACTAATACTTGACATCTTTATTGACTCAATGTTATTAACAGTCATTTGGCTTGAAATCATCTTTTCTTCCATTCTAAATCTGCATAACTTTCACACTGTGTGAAATATGCAGAGGAGTGAGGACTGAACCCTTCGCTCGACATGATTTACACATCAGGCTGTAAAACGCTGGAGAACGCTGTCACTTTTACGGTGAAGCTCGCTCCGGGTTTCTGGTTCGCTCCTGTTATCAGGGTCCTGCTTGCACGCCAGAAAGAGACTCACAAGGTTAACGACCTTCGTGAATCTCTCAAATAAGACGTATCAATCATATCAACCTT